ATAATAATGCCTAGGTAATTTCAGAATATTGGCCCATCCGAGTCGACTAGAGGCGGTGGACACCTTATAGTGGTCATCCACCTCTGGTGCCAAATGCTTCTCGATAATAATCTCCTTGGCCAAGCCTGCCTCATACCACTGTTGATTCTCGAGTGACGTGAATCTAGTGGTGTCATAATCTGGAAGCGGCTCATCACTGCTAGTGGATGCGGTATTTCGACGAGACCAAGGTGGTGGCTCAGGCGAAGGAGATTCTTCCTCAGGCGACTCTTCATGTGAGGGAGTGCACTCCTCGCTTGAAGATGGTGTAGGAGTACAAATACGAGCCCTCCTTGTGCGAGCCATAGTACCTATATAAAAACAAGATGAACGTTCATTAGAACAATATAAACTTGCTCACATAGAATTTAAGAAAATTTCAGCAGAGTTTCCCTTTATAAAAGGGCTAAACTCCCCGCCAATATGAACCAAAAAGCAACTAAAGATCCTACTTAACTCATTTCAAACTCAAATGCATATTTTCAGGTAGAATCTCATCAAAGAGTTCGATCATTTGAACCTCAATCATTATTTCAAGAATGTACATGCCAATATATTCATAACTTTATCCACGAATCACACCACAATTGGCTATACCCATTCTTAATAAAGTGCATACGAATGAGCTCCAAATTTACCAAAACAATTGCAATTGAACTCAAAGAGATAAGAGATTTCAAGTAAAAAGGTTTAATGTGCTTAACTTAATCATAAACACACTCTTTTACCCAATGGAATTGGTTCTATTAATCGCATATCATTTTTAATTGGTACAACAGCGACTTATACTCCTCAAAACAAGTTTATATATTCAATGGAAACCAACATTCACAAGTCTAAAGAACCAAATTGCTCAAGCCTAATAAATTAAAAAAAAATACCAAAATTATCACCAAATCCACAACTTTTTCCATACTAAGCATAAAAATAGTAGTAACAACATATTCTAGTATAATGTAGCACATTTATAACAAGAAATTCCAACAAATATGCATTTATCACAATATGCCCAAAAACTAGAAAAATGTAAAATTAGAAATTATGGAATCTTAAAGAAAATTGCAAATTGATACCTCAAATGTATAGGAAGATGCTAGAGGATGATAATGATGACAAATGAGGAAGAAACAAGTCCAAATTCACTCCTAAATTTGAAAAATTGAAGTTCAGCTCGAATTCTTTTGTGATGATTAAACTCCTTCGGATTGATGTTTTTTATTCGAAATTGTTGAGGGTTAATGCTCACCAGAGTATTTGGGATGTTTTTGTGGTGAAAGATCAGAGGATTAATGGGCAAAATGGAAGATTGGTGAAGGAGGGTTAGGGTTTCGGTGAGAGAGAAAGAGAGAAAGCCAGAAAATGAGGAACCGAGGCCTCGTTTCCTTTCTTATCGCGAACCGATCCGAGGTCGGATTGGTTCTGAACGCCCTCGGATCCGACAGGGGCTCGGATCCGCACTACCAGAAGTACAGACGACCCCTCGAATATTTCTGGAAATTGTTTGATCCGTGCTCGGATCAAAGGATCCGCGGACGGATCCGTCTGGGTAGTTCGGATCCGAGCTCGAATCTGTATTTCTCTGCACTAATTGCAGAAACTGCAATTTTTCAAACTTTTTCTCCCTTTTCCGGCCAATTCCATATTATGCTTTGGACAAACTTTCTATCAATTCTAACCCTCCCACGCACATGTAATATACTATAAACACAATATCCAACCTTTCAAAACACATCAAACACATCTATATTGCAAATCGAGGGGTGAGGTTCCTTGATCATTTTTGCATCTTTACACTAAAATGGCACTTTTGGGCATTAAATGCACATCAAATGAGTCCATGAGTATTTATAAACATGGTATCACCAAAACTCACTTGAATATACTGAAAATGCAATATTGTATGTATGCTTGGGAATTCTAAACACTTAAAGCACAATTTTGGTAAGAAAACCTCCCTTTTTACACTTGTTCTTCAATTGTACCTCCAAAATGGATGATGAAACTCCGGTACCTCCTACAAATAAGTGAAATACATCTAATTAGTTAATTAAATCACACCAAAATGTAAGAAACACATAAAAACACACAACTACAATATTATTATTGGGTTGCCTCCCAACAAACGCTTTGTTTAGAGTCGTTAAGCTCGACTCTCCTACAGCTCTTTTAACCCTCCATTGCATTTCCTAAGGAGTAAATTACTCCTTTAGGTACCTTTTCTCCTGCCAAATAGGGTTTCAATCTTTGACCATTCACTTTAAATGGGGAACCATTCTCTCCTTTTATTTCCACTTCTCCATAAGGAAATACTTGAGTAACTTCAAATGGTCCCGACCACCTTGACTTCAATTTTTCTGGAAATAACCCCAGGCGTGAGTTGAACAAAAGCACATTTTGCCCTACCTGAAATTGTTTAGGAATAATATGCTTGTCATGCCAATATTTGATCTTTTCTTTATAAATTTTGGCATTTTCATATGCATGTAGTCGGTGTTCCTCCAATTCACTTAACTCAAGTAATCGCTTTTCACCTGCAAGATTAAAATCCATGTTAATAGATTTAATTGCCCAATAAGCTTTGTGCTCAATCTCTACAGGTAGGTGACAAACTCTCCCATAGACTAAACGATATGGCGACATCCCTAGGGGTGTCTTAAATGCCGTTCGGTAAGCCCATAGTACATCATCTAACTTTATAGCCCAATCTTTGCGTGATTTATTCACAATTTTTTCCAAAATGAGCTTTATCTCTCTATTAGCTAGCTCTGCTTGTCCATTGGCTTGAAGATGATATAGAAGTGATGTCTTGTGCCTACAACCATATTTAAACAATAAAGAATCCAATTGTTTGTTACAAAAATGTTTCCCTTCATCACTTACTATGGCCTTAGGTATACCAAATCCACTAAAAATATTCTTTTTAAGGAATCTAAGTACAACCTTAGAGTCATTAGTAGGTGAAGCGATTACTTCTACCCATTTAGAAACATAATCCACTGCTACTAAGATGTACTTATTATTAAAAGAACTAGGAAATAGTCCCATAAAATCAATACCCCATACATCAAATAACTCAACTTCCAAGAATGTAGTTAGGGACATTTCATTTTTTCGAGATATATTTCCAGTTCTTTGGCATGCATCACAATTTTTAACACATTCTCTAGCATCTCGGTACATAGTTGGCCAATAAAACCTGATTGCCATACCTTTGCCACAGTTTTGGAAGTACTGAAATGACCACCTGTTTCAAGGTTATGACAATGATATAAAACATTATGTACCTCATCTTCAAGAATATATCTACGTATCATACCATCGGCACAATGTCTATATAGCAATGGTTCCTCCCAAAAGTAACTTTTGACATCATGCAAAAATTTCTTCTTTTGATGATAATTAAACCCCTTTGGAATCTCTCCACTGACCAAGTAGTTAGCAAAATCTGCATACCATAGAGAATTGCTAAGTGCTAGGACAAACTCATCTGGAAAATTCTCTTGAATTGGAACTTGATCTTTGACTGGTATATATTCCAAACGTGATAGATGATCTGCAACTAGATTCTCCGATCTCTTTTTGTCTTTTATCTCCACGTCAAATTCCTGCAATAAAAGAATCCACCGAATTAGTCTAGGTTTTGCATCCTTCTCATGTAGCAAATATTTAAGAGCTGAATGGTCCGTATATATAGTAACTTTAGATCCTACTAAATAGGATCTAAATTTATCTAAAGCGAATATCACCGCCAATAGCTCTTTTTCTGTCGTTGCATAATTGAGTTGTGCCTCATTTAGCAACTTGCTAGCAAGGTAAATGACGTGCAATTGTCCTTCTTTCTTTTGTCCCAAAACTGCTCCAACCGCATAATCGCTTGCATCACACATCAATTCAAATGGTAGTGACCAATCGGGCGAAGTTATAATTGGGGCCGAAATCAATTCCTTCTTCAACCTTTCAAATACAACCAAACAATTGTCATCAAATTAAAAAGGGGTATCTTTACATAATAAATCACATAATAACTTTACTATTTTAGAAAAATCTTTAATAAAACGTCTATAAAAGCCAGCATGTTCTAAAAAACTCCTTATCCCTTTGACATTGCTTGGAGGTGGCAATTTTTCGATAACTTCTATTTTGACTTTATCCACCTCGATTCCCTTAGAGGAAATCTTATGTCCTAAAACAATTCATTCTTTTACCATAAAATGGCATTTCTCCCAATTCAGTACAAGATTTGTTTCCTCGCATCTGCAAAATCAATTCCAAATTATGAAAGCAATGGTCAAAAGATGAACCATATACAGAAAAATCATCCATAAATATCTCCATAATTTTCTCAATATAATCTGAAAATAAAGCCATCATGCAACGTTGAAAAGTCGCAGGTGCATTGCATAAACCAAATGGCATCCTTTTAAAGACAAAAGTCCCATAAGGACATGTAAATGTGGTCTTCTCTTGATTCTCAGGAGCTATAGCTATTTGATTATATCCTGAAAAACCATCAAAAAAACAATAAAATTCATATTCAGCTATTCGCTCTAATAATTGATCAAGAAATGGTAAGGGAAAATAATCTTTTCTTGTTACCGTATTTAACTTACGATAATCAATACACAGTCTCCACCCTACCACAAGTCTAGATGGAATCAATTCATCATTTTTACCCACGATTGTAGTTATTCTACCTTCTTTGATACCACATGAATTGGACTAATCCAAACACTATCGGAGATAGGAAAGACTATACCTGCATCAAGCCACTTAAGAATTTCATTTCTTACCACCTCTTTCATGTTTGGATTGAGTCTTCTTTGTGTTTCCACCACTGGTTTGCAATTGTTCTCCAATAAAATGCGATGCATGCATATAGAAGGACTTATACCTTTAATGTCTACAATTGTCCATCTCATTGCCTTCTTATGCTTCCTTAGAACTCTTAGCAACTTTGTACACTACTCATCATCAAGGTCAGCACTAACAATTACAGGTAAAGTACTATTTTCTCCAAGAAATTCATACCTTAGATGAGTTGGAAGTGGTTTGAGCTCTAGTTTTGGAGGTTCAATTTCTGAAGATGGTAAAAGCCCTTTTCCTTGGCCAAGACTTTCATACAAATTACCCTTTTTATAAGGTGCTTGAAAATTCAAATACTTGGCCAATTCTTCAATCTCTCCACAATTACCTTCTTGCTTACCTAAACTCATTAAACAATATTCAAGAGGATCAAAGTCAAAATTGACTTGGCTCATCTCTTGAGTTAGTTTATCAATTGTGCCAATAGAATATACATGATCTGTAAAAGAAGGGTAATTTTCCATTTCATGCAGATTAAACTCTACCTCTTCTTCACCTATTTGAAACTTCAGCTTGCCATTTTTAATATCAATAATAGTACCTGCAGTAGCTAAAAATGGTCTACCAAGAATAATTGGCATAGATACATCTTCTTCCATATCTAACACCACAAAATTCACTGGAATGATAAATTTTTGAACTTTTATCAATACATTCTCCAACACTCCCAATTGATATCTAATAGGCCTGTCCGCCAGTTGCAAAGTAATATTAGTGCGTTTAAGCTCCTTCAAACCCAATTGTCTAGCCACCGTTAGGGGAATCAACGATACACTAGCACCAAGATCACACAATGCTTTAGAAAAATCAATGTTACCTATGGTGCAAGATATAGAGAAACTTCCTGGATCCTTCAATTTCGGTGGTAGCTTAATTTGTATAATTGCACTACACTCCTCAGTTAATGCTATTGTTTCGCAGTCTTCAAACTTCCTTTTCCTAGTCATGATTTCCTTGAGAAATTTTGCATAAGATGGAATTTACAAAATATCATCGGCAAAAGGAATGTTAATGTGCAATTGTTTGAAAAGTTTGATAAAATTTTCAAAATCTCTATCAAACTTATTCTGCTTTAATCTTTGTGGAAATGGAACCGCAGGAGGTATTGGAATGGTAGCGGAAGATGATGGTTGATTTTCTCTTGGTTTCTCCCGGTCATTTTCTTCCACTATCGCCTCTTGGTTCCTCTGTTTTTCTTCTTATTTTTCATTCTCATCATTCTCAACTTCCACCACTGGAGGATCTGCTAATTGCTTACCACTGCGAAGAGTAATGGCTTTGACATGCTTCTTAGGATTTACCTCCGTTTTACTAGGTAATTCTCCTTGATTTCGATTATTCAAAGAACTAACAATTTGACCAATTTGGATATCTACATTCCTGTACATTGTAGTGAGTTGGTCCAATTTTCCTTCTACTCGCTCAAATCTGTCCGAAGTAACTTTTGCTAGTTTTTCCACTGCCATCTCCCAACCAGGTTTAGTTTCAGCTTGTTGTAGCCTTGATTGAAATCCTGGTGGATTGGGCTGGCCTTGGTTGATTTCCTTGATCCTTCCATTCAAAGTTTGGATAATTTCTCCACCCTGGATTGTAAGTATTCGAGTAGGGGTTATTTTGAGCATTACGATTGTAATTATTGATGAATTGTACCTGCTTGGAATCAACACACTCATTAGTATTATGTTCACCTCCATATATAGAACAACACGCTACATGTGCATTAGATGAACTTGGACCAATTCCACCTTATCTACTTAGCAACTTCATCACATTATTCATTTGAGCACTCAGCATATTGAGAGTGTCCATTTCTATTATACCTGCGTGACGTCTTGTATTACCTCTCTCATTAGCCCATTGGTAGTTATTTGCGGCCATTTCTTCTATCAAATTTTGAGCTTTTTGGGGTGATTTTTCCATTAAAGCTCCACCTGCAGCTGCATCAATCATAGTTTTAGTAGAAAAAACTAAACCATTATAAAAGGTTTGTACGATTAACCACTCCGGCAGTCCATGATGTGGACATTTCCGAAGCAAATCTCTAAACCTTTTCCATGCCTCATATAATGATTCACTTTCCAATTGGCTAAAACTAGTGATATCCATTCTTAGTTTAGCAGTCTTACCTGGTGGAAAATACTTATTCAATAATACTATTGATAAATCATCCCATCCGGTGAAAGTATTAGGAGCATGAGAGTGTAGCCAAAGTTTGACGTTATCTCTCAATGAAAATGGGAACAATCTTAGCCTTATAGTATCATCACTAACTCTATTCATTTTAATTGTATCACAAATTTTAAAAAATGTAGCTAAGTGTGAATTAGGATCTTCTACTGCATTACCTCCAAATTGAGATTGTTGAACCATTTGGATAAGAGATGATTTAATCTCAAAATTGTTAGCATTTACCGAAGGCCTTGCTATGCTCGTTTGAGATCCTTGTGTTCCCGGTAGAGCAAAATCTCGTAGAACTCGCCTATTTGCTTCGTTTTCTGCCATTTTTTCTTCAAATGGAAGCTCTATTAATATTTCCTCTATTGGTTGCCAAATCTCTTGTTCCTCTTGCTGTGGTGTGTTCCTCCTTTGTCTATGTAGTGTCCTCTCAATCTCTGGATCGAAAAGTGCAATTTCTCGAAACACCTGGTGCATACACTACAAATAGAAATAATAGATATTATGCAACTTCAATTGTCAAAATTTGATTACAATGTAGGATTAAATATAATCAGCTCAACTAATAAAAATAAAAGCTGTCTAAATTAATAAAGATGATTAGGCTCTAATATTGCCGCTCCATGGCAACGGCGCCAAAAACTTGACGCAATTTTTATATCAATGCAAGTTTAAATCCGATTTTATACCCGTTGACTACAAGTATACAGGCCAAAATTATAATGTAGGGTATGTATCGGGTCGATCCTACGAGAAGCAAATTAAACAAGTACTAGACCCTTATTTTTCTCTACTATTTAGACTTATAATAAATCTGAGCAAGAAAATTATAATGTTATTGTCTACAAATCTGGTTTAATCAATACTAAATGCAAATGGAGAAATTTCACTAAAGATTGAATCAAGAGATGTAGATTCCACTTATGGCATAAACAACATAAATGAATAGATTTACCTCTTGTTATTTTTTTGTTTAACCAGGGATTCATTTCCAATATTACAAAATCTCATTTTCATGATGAAATGGCCTAGAGCAAAATAGTTTTCCCTATTTTTATGGTGAAATACTACTACTACTCTGTTTTCTTTCATGAAATGTTAGAAAAATCCACTTAAGTGTATATCTATTTTCATGAACATACAACTTAAGCTCTACTCATGTGTTTCCATTATTACCACCAATTCTTATTGAACAATAACAACTATAACATGCTATTGGTGATCAATCAATAACAAGTAATCACAGCTACACAAGTAGACAAGTTAATACGAGATATAACAAGTGTAAATCACATTCAATTATTATTATTTAGCCATAAGTTTCATCTACTTCCTAGATTAAGGAGTTTAGCTACTCATGAATGATTTAACAATCAAACTCACAAGTTTATTAATGCAAAACATCATGAAGTACAAGTACAAAAAAGATAAAAGTAAGCTTAGCCAATTGATGGTGAAGCCCTCAAATTCTACTATGTTCTTGCACAAGATGATTACAAGTGAAAACTCCAAATGCTTCTCCAAGAACTCTTAGCTAGAGAGAAACTAGTTACAAGAAGGAAAACTAGCTACGTAGGTGCCCCTGGCTTCTTCCCTGTGTTTCTGCATAAAAAGTGGTAGAAAGTCTACTCCTCTCACTTCATAATTTTCTCCACTCAGATTTTGTAAAAAGAAGTCAAAGATATGATGTTTCCTTTTTGTCTACAACTCATTTGGTCTTCTCTTTTGTTGCAGAAGCATGTGCCACCGATTTCTGTCCCTCAAAATAGCTGGAAAAGTTGTGAGAAAGGTAAAGGAAAACGGCTGTGCCACTTGCTGAAGAGAGAGACAGATCCGAGACTCGGATCCGAGGGTTGAATATGGATCCGAGCTCAGATCTTTAGGATCCGAGGCCTTTCTCTGATGGATCCGAGCTCGGATCGTTTGTACTCGGATACACTGCTCCAGAAGTACAGACGAGGGATCGGATCGGTCCTTATTCTCACGGATCCGAGTTCGGATCCGTGCTGGTATTTTCCAGTTTTTCACTTCTTTTCCCTTTTCTTCATTTTTGCTCCTAATTTCTTGTTTACTTTATCCTCTGGACAATCCTTACACTTCTGTTAGCTCATACATGAATTTCATACATCGATATCCTTCACAATTTCACAAAATTAACGCATTAATCCACTCATTTATCTAGTTTTGAACACTTAAATAATATTTAATCAATTATCACCAAAAGAGTTCAAATATGGCTTTAATCTTCTCAAAACATACCAAAAGTTCATGCCAAACTTGTACAAAATATACATTAAATATTCACTTATCAGAGGTGCAGGTCATCTAGTGCCACTCAACAAGCCAAGCAAAGTTTTGGCTCTCATCCATTCTTTCTTGTCTGGCAAAAATCTCTCTATCCATTGCTGAATTACAAAAGAAGTCTACCAACATTTTCCTCATTTTGGCACGTGCACCTTTGTTCAGACATATAAAAAATAAGCACCCCTATGATGGAGCATACAAAGCATTAATCTTTACAAATACATCCCCTTTGAATCTGATATCCTGCATTCTCCAACTCAAAGAAATAGTAGTATGATTCTTTTATCACTAAAAGCTAATTTTCTTGTAGAACTTTAAGATTTTCTCAAGCGGGAAATCATGATGATTACTATGATTATAAAGGACTACTGGAATATTGTGATGACCTAGAAAAATTATTTTTTCACCTCCCAACTATTTGCATTTCTATTTAAATTATATTGTTGTAAAATTTGCATTCATTAAGTGATTTACTTGTTAATTGATAAATGAGTTTCTTTTACTTGCTTATTTTAACCTTCGAGTGATTAATTTCTTGAAAATTGTTAATTTCATGACTTATTAGTGAATTTGGCCAAAACCCTAAAAGAATGTAAGTAGAGATATTAGTGAAGTTAAGAAAGATTTTGAGAGTTAAAAAAAGTTAGAAAAACTAAGGATTGTTAGTAAGAAAGCTTAAGTGGAGGACACTATTTGGGGCACTATTCAAAGTTGACTTAGAGAAATCTTCTTGCGGCTTGTATATTAGTTCCAAAAGCAACCCAAAGCCTTCATTTCTTCTTCTTGGGTGGCCGAAAATAGAGAGAGGAAGAGAGAGTGAGAGATTTCAAATTTTCTTGAGATTCTTGAAGATCCAAGCTACCCTTTCATCAATCTACTTGAAACTTTGGAAGATCTTGAGAGAAGAAGGCTCCTAGGAGTGGATCTTTCTATCTTCTTGGTTTAATCCTGCTAGGGTTTGAAATTTTGAAGAGGTAAGTGGCTAATCTACTTCATTCTTTAACTTTTCAAGCAATTTTGGACTAGATCTTAGTGGATTTATGGTATTTATGGAAAACCTATTGTGGATTTGAAAGTTTTATGGAAATTTAGTATTAGATACTTTAATAATCTTGGTTTACTTTAATCTTGGTATGTTTGGCTAGAAATTGATGGATTCTCGTCTCTTGAGATCCTAGGGTTAATGATTGATAAAACCCTTGAGGATTTGAGTGTGATTTATGATAGATTCTTGTCTCTTGAGATTCTAGGGTTAATGATTGATGAAACCCTTGAGAATTTGAGTGTGATTTATGGTGATTGTTGGTGAAAATTGAAGATTATGTATGCTGAAATTTTTGGTTTAGATGGCCAATTATCATGGACAAAATTTTCAGCTTTACCTTCCTTGAATTTGAGGCTTGTTTGTACACTTGAGTTGGAATTTTTTTTAGGAAATTGATGCTACTTGATTCTATGTATGTTGGTT